GCGGGCGGGCAGCTTCGCCCACGGCGGCCCTCGGCAAGGGACCCTGCCCCGAAGGGCCCTCCAGGGGCCGCCGTGCTCAGCCGTGCTCCAACAGAAGCCACAGACAGCCCTGCTCACGCCGCCACTCACAGCTTCCTTTTTGTTTAAAGATTTGTTTATGCACACAGGAACTGGGGCGCAGGCCAGAGGTGGGGGTGAGAGGGCTCCCCAGAGACAGAGCGGGGAGCAGGCGGGGGCTGCTGCGCCCGGGACCCCTCCCTGGCCGGGGTAGCTCGGGCCGCAGGGGGCAGCTTCCCCGCCGCGCCCCCGGGGCGAGGCCTCCACCAGCTTCTGGACAGACAGAGGCCGAGGAAACCCACCCTGCACACCAGCCTGGTGGACTGTAGTCAGTACTGAACAAAACCACTAAAAATGTGATTTTATCAATTCAGATCATAACTGCATTAAAAGCACTAATTTATGAGAGAGAACTGAACAGGAAATGCGGAAGAAAACTCCCACGAGATGCCACCAGATACCGCGCAGGATGGCTCTAAAACTGACAATTTGGGGCGCCCTGGAGGCGCAGGGGCTCAGTCTCAGCACCAGGAAGCTGTGGCAGCCTCCGCAGCCCGAATCCCATCCCGGCCGGGGAGGGACCCCGGGGCGCGGCGGCCCCCTCCTGTCTCCCCGCTGCCCCTCAGCGGTGGGTTTCACTGGATCCGCCTGCCCTGCTCCCCGCTCTGTCTCTGGGAGTCCTCTCACCCCCTGCACCTCTGGTCTGTACCCCAGTTGTGTGTGCACAAATAAATACACCTTAGAGACAGGAGCCAGACTCCGGGACTACCTAGTGTTCTTCGGCTTCTGGAAAAGGCAAAGCAGTACGGCGAGGGTGACTAGGCCGGTGGCTGCCAGAGCTTCGAGACCCGACGCCACAGCCTGAGGGCCGGAGTGAGCAGCTGCCCTGCGCCCTCGCGGTGGTGACAGCAAGGCTCTCGGGGCCATGGGCCAAAGAGGATGGCCTTTCCTGCACACAGTTTTTAAAGTAGATTTAGTTTTTTTCTCTTAAAAAGATAAACGCGTCAAAGGCAGGTGCTAAAACTCAACTGCAGGTGGAGTCAGGCCTGCGCCCTGCCGGAGCCTCCGCCCCCCAGGCCGCGGGCTGCGACCTAGCGGTCCGGCCAGCACACTGTCCACCGGGCTGCCCCGCGCGGACAGGCCCGAGCCACTAACGTGCAGCCCGCTCGCAGGGCTCCAGCGGGGACGAGCGGGCCATGGCCAAGCAGCTGGCCGGGCTGCTCTGTGACGGGGCGGAAGACGCTGTGGCCGAGGGCCAGGAGGCCGCCGAGTTCTGGGACCTGCTGGGGGGCAAAGCGCCCTACGCCAGCAGCAAAAGGTGCGGCCCTGCCCTGGCCTGGCCCTGCCCTCCCCCGGGGCTCGCCCAGCCTCCAGGCTGGGAGCCGAAGGCCTCAGATCCCTTCCAGTTTTAAAAACAGGACTTTTTAGGGTTTCCGTTCCTCTAAATGGACTGTATTGCAGACTTCAGCAGGTCCAAGATGTCCAGTCCCGTCTCTTTGAATGTTCCAATAAGACTGGCAGGTTCACGGTCACCGAGATCACAGACTTCACCCAGGATGACCTGAATCCAGGTGACGTGATGCTCCTGGATACCTGGGACCAGGTAAGACGTGGCCAAAGAGGGGCCCTCCCTGGCGGCGCCAGGGCTAGAGCACAGCGC